GAAGGGTCTGGGTGGAGATGGTGGATTGGTGGTGGAGAGTGAAGATCTAATAATGAGTGGCAAACTGTTCCACAGGTTTTGGACAGACAACAGAAAATGCTCGATCACCTTTTGATTTTAACTACGTGTGAAATATAGAGCAGTAACTGGCTGACAGGACAGGGAGTGTCTGATGACTAATGACTGAATATTTACCTTGGTTTAAATTGGTGAGTTCTGACCAACAAACATGATCAATACAATGGCCTAAAACAAGTTTCTCAGAAATATTTATTTTTCCTATAATAAATGCTAAATTCCATTATTCTTCCCAGGAAACTGGAATTTGTCAGGAAAATTGTGGACCTGAGGAATATTTATACTAATTACTTCACTGGTCATTTAGTTTACACAATATTTCTAAAAACCGTGCCCACAAACAGATTTTGGCTTCGTAACTCAACATAATCAAAGAATTCTAATCTAAAACAATGTAATAATCAACTCTAATAGTCAACAGATGTTTACATGTGCCCTTTACCTTTGTTTGATTACATTACACAACTGTATTATGCTAATTTTTTGTTAGACGATTGGAAAAAATAAGAACAAATTTACAAATGAAGCAAGATTTTTCACAATTCAACATTCATCGGGAGTTGGACACAGAGACACAGAGATGTAGCCCGAAACCTCTGGAGTCTGTGGTTGTTTTATAGGTAGTGGCATGGAGGCACTGAGCATTGCTGGGATCATCAGGTTGAAGCACAAAATGTTTATATGAAGCTTTGTGACTGTTGGAGACAGTCGTAGATGGGGCTGTGCTTCTTGGGGGAAAAAAGACGCTTTGTTTTTATATTCTGCCTGGAATGTGTTGAGGACTGTGGACATCTGCTTTATTAACATATGTGATTCCACCCCCAGCTATGAATCTCCTGGTGGTCTGATAGCGTGTCATACTGTTACCGGTATTTGTAAATACAGATTGTGTGAATGACTGGTCTGCAGATTTATCACAGTTTAATCAGCGGTGTGCAGTCTGCAGTCATGGTTTTGTAAAATTTTACATTTTAATTTGAGACAGAGAGAGAGGAAGTAAGCTTTTTTTAAGTGCGTGTTTTTGGAACGCAAAAAGGTTTTTTCATTTGCACCATACAAACATTAACACTGTATGAATGTGTGTTGCTGCAGAGTTTCAGTCAGGCTCTCCTGAAGCTTATTGGTGTGAAAATTCCTCAGAACCATTCTCAGAGTTATTCTCAGATCATTACAGATGCATCCCACCCAAGCACTCATACTGGCTCGTTGATTACTATTTTTTTTGTCAGGGTAATTGCATTATTGTGGCTTCTTTAAAATCAGGTAGGGGGTATGTGGGCCATGTGTGGATGTACAATCCCTTGTGGATGAGATTTTGTTTTTTCAAATGGAAATGAAATAAAATTAAACAGGAGACAAAGACATTTGTTTGGTCTGATATGACCATTTATAACATTTCATGGTAAAATTAACAAATTTATTAGCAATTTTAAAATATATCATATCTTCTCTAACATTACTCTAGTTTGGGTGTTTCCTGTTATCACATCAATGCCAGATAATTAAATTGATTGTGAATGATGGACTGTATCTCCAAAATCTGAGTGATACTAGACTTATCTCACAGAAGGAACTGTATGTGAGCAGAAACAATAGGCCCGACTGAATGCATTCCCTAGAAGGTGTTGGGTTACATGAACCTGGTCTATTTAATAGATGATATTTGTGTAGAGGGACTTTTCTATGTGATCGGTCTGGCCTCTGAAATAACAACAATGCCTTAAAAGCATCAATGAGACGTTCACTGTCAACACCTTAGTTTGTGAGATCACCACCCAGTTTAGTGTGTCGCTTCAGCTCAATCAAGCAGCTCTCATCGTAGAGCTGGAATAAAAATAACACTATAAACAAAGAGATGGGTATGAAAAGTTACACCGCAGTGACTCTCCAGTAAGATTGTTTCTAAAATCACCCAGACTATTAGTCAGGATGCAGTGAGGTGAGTCGATGCCTGTGGTGTGAATCACTCAGCAGTTTGATGAGGGCAGCTTCTCAACAGGCAGCATAAATATTGAGGCACGGAAGATGTGAGTCAGGACAGAGAGAGCGCAGTTCACTGGGCCATTACTTAAGCTGAAAAAAAGGAGAGGAAGTTGGTTTCAAGGTTTGTCTCTGTTTTAGGAAGGGGTACTTACTGAGGTTTCTTGTGTTTAGTTTGTTCTTATCCAGTTTGAATCTCTAAGGACAGAGGTGGTACATGATGTACAGGCTGTAAAACCTCTTTAAGGAAATTTGTGATTTGTAATATTGGGCTACATTAATAAAATCTGACTTAAAACCCTTGGGTTCTCTTTGGGTGCGTCACACCTGTTTTCACTTTTTATCTAAAGAAAAAAAGATACGAGTAATTATTTTTTCAAGCTCAGACTCAATGGCTTTGGCTCATTTTGTGCACACTGCACCCCTCCCCTACGTATTTACAGTACAGGAAGAAGTTTCAGAAGAAGAGGATAACATTTCTGAAAATTCTGAGTTCGACAGTGACTCTGAAGAGGAGGCTGACATTGATTATCACCCGGCTACACCTTCTGAGAAACTACCATCTGTAGAGCCTGAGGTAAGTGTATGATGCTGTTGCAGTACACTGAACGTGAGACACTCCTGCTTTGGGAGAGAGAGAAACTAGGTGCTAAGTATAATTTCTTATCTTCTCATTATACTAGGTTGCAGCCAGCACAAGCAAAAAGAGGCGCACACAGCCAGCTAGTGAAACAGAACAAGCCCTGCAGCAGCCAGCCCCTGGACCATCCCATCAGCAGCAAGCAGGTAAAGAAATCTGAATGTCCAAAAGTGGTGCAATTGAATGGTCTTCTTGCCCAACAAAAAAGCCACCCCGCATCACTGACAATGTGATAACAATGCAACCAGGGCCAACAAGAATGGCAGTCACCCATGTGCACGACATCAAGTCTGCTTTTGAACTTCTGATGCCAGATTCCATCCAGAACATTATTCTGGATTGCACCAATTTAGAAGGAAGGCGTGTTTATGGAGAGAGATGGAAGGAGATGGACCAAACCATTTTACATGCGTACTTTGGGCTTCTTTTCCTTGCTGGAGTTTTCAGGTCCAAAGGGGAATCCACACAATCCCTGTGGAGTGCAGAAACTGGCAAAGAAATTTTCCGGGCAACAATGTCTTTAGAAAAATTCCAAATAATTTCCAGGGTTATCCGCTTTGATAACCGAGATGACACACCAGCTCGACGGCGGATAGACAAGCTAGCTGCCATCAGGACGGTGTGGGACAAGTGGGTGCACCGCCTCCCCCTATTTTACAACCCTGGGCCTCATGTCACTGTTGATGAGCAGCTGGTGCCATTTAGGGGCCGCTGCCCCTTTAGGCAGTATATGCCATCCAAACCAGCCAAATATGGCACAAAGATCTGAGCTGCCTGCGATGCCGTAACCTCGTATGCTTGGAACTTACAAGTCTACACAGGGAAACCTGACAGAGGAGCCCCAGAGATCAATCAAGGGCTGGGTGGACCTGACTCAGAAGCTCAGTGGACACAATATCACGTGTGACAATTTTTTACCTCGCACAAACTGGGACAGGAGCTCCTGAAGAGGAAGCTGACCATGGTGGGAGCTATTCGCAAAAACAAGTCTGAGCTCCCACCTCAACTACTGATTACAAAGGACAGGCCTGTGAAGTCTTCCAAGTTTGTGTACTCGGCTGACACGTCCCTGGTGTCCTATGTGCCAAAGAAAGGCAAGAATGTTGTCCTGATGAGTACACTGCACAGGGATGGGAAAATCTGTGGCCAAATACCACAGATCATCATGGACTACAATGCCACAAAAGGAGGGGTGGACAACATGGACAAGCTGGTGACTGCGTACAGCTGCAAAAGGAGGACACTATGCTGGCCACTGGTGATCTTCTTCAACATGTTGGACATGTCAGCGTACAATGCCTTTGTCATCTGGATGGCACTGAAACCCAGAGTGGAACAGAGAGAGGCTCCAGAGGAGACGCTTCTTTATGGAGGATTTAGGAAAGGCACTGCTGACACCTCACATCCTGAGAAGACAGCATACTCTGAGAACCCCAGCCTCTGCAGCCATCATGAGGAGGATTTGGGGGGAGCATGTTGGTACCCCATCCACCGGACCTACAGAACCACAATCTGCAGAGCCTGAGGTAAGTGTATGATGCTGTTGCAGTATACTGTATGTGTGACACTCCTGCTTTGGGAGAGAGAGAAACTAGGTGCTAAGTATAATTTCTTATCTTCTCATTATTCTAGGTTGCAGCCAGCACCAGGCAACAGAAGCGCTGTGGAGTGTGTGGACCCAAGAAGGACAGAAAAACGCAATATACATGCATCAAGTGCAATATATACATATGCAACACACACTCAAGACGGCTCTGCCCCTCATGTGATGTATAGGTTTGTCTGTATTCAATGGGGGCTGTGTTGTGTACACCAAAATGGTTACTGTGTTCAGCTTGTGCTGTGCAAACTATCCTGAATGTTTGAAATGACTGACGTTCAAATAAAAATCAGCAGTTGTGAAAAATCTTGCTTCATTTGTAAATTTGTTAATGTCTAACAAAAAATAGCACAACAGTTTTAACTATTTTATAATGTAATCTAACAAAGGTAAAGGGCAAATGTAAACATCTGTTGACTATTAGAGTTGATTATTACATCGTTTTAGATTAAAATTCTTTGATTATGTTGAGTTACAAAGCCAAAAGATGATGCGGGTGCAGGACACCCACAAACACCACCAGTGTAAACTAAACATGAACAGAACACAAGGGAAGGGTCTTTTAGGGCCACAGCGTACCCTTTTCACAACAGCTCACTTTGTGGCCCAAAACAAAAAGAAAAACCAAACAAGTAGGGGCTACCCATTTGATCAGCAGCACGGAGCTTTATTCTGAAAGGGTTAGCCGGACCTATCACACTGTGTAGTTCCCTCGGACTTGTCGGCGATCTGTGGACAGCAGAGCCAAAGGTGCAGCCGCCGCACAGCAGAGGGATGGAGGGAGAGCCGAGCGGCTGTGAGCTCGTCTAACCCAGGGAGGACAGCATCAGACGAAGAGCGAACAAACCATGGCTCGCTTGTGAAAAGTGAGCATCTCCACAAGCAGGAACGCCTCGGAGACACCAGCCTCATGAAGCCAGTGTTGTATTGAGGTGAGAGCTGCCGCTGCGTTTTCTGTGTCATTTAGCGCGCCCGGACCATCCTGACGCCTATGATGAGACATTTTGCAGAAGCTCTTCATGTGATGGTGATGTGAGGAGAAAGCCACCGGCTGAGGATAACAACAACAAACCAGCAGGTGCCGAGGAGGAGACGATGCTGAAGTGTTTCGGTGTTAAACCCGTTTCATCCCCGCAGCCAGCCTCCCCGGCGCATCCTGCGTTAACAGTCGGGTTTTGATGGGAGAGGACAAGTGCAGTGTGCCGTTTGTAGCGGCTCGTTTTAGGGGTTGAACACAGAGACTGTGGATCAGGCTGGACCGGGAGGTGGGGGCTCCGCGGTGTAAAGGGGCTCTGTCGTTCATCCATGTAATAGTCCCGAGTGAGCACAGTGTGGTCAGTCTCAGGACGGCTCAGAGGCCTGATGTGATGTCACGGGATGGCACATGATGCACAGGCCCGCTCGAAATCAGTGTGTACCAACTCGTGACTCCGCACGCAGGCTCCCATTCATCGCTTGTTTTTCTGGATGTGTCAAAAAGGCTGCGGATTCCCATTCATGAGGACGCAGCCTGAACAGCCATGCACAGCCATGCACTGCTGCTGTTAAATAGGCTCTCCGGGCCGCAGCAGGCCTGTTTCAGGCCTGCTATTGACTTTCTCTCATGTGTCTTTTCATGAGGCAGTCAGTTAATCTGAAGCTTAATAAGCCTGATTCTAGCAGGATGCAGGCCTGTTGGTACACAGGCTGGGTGTTCACATCACCAGGGTACAGTATTCTGACAGCCCTCCTATGAGGCTGTGGGCTCTGTGTTGCAGTTTTAGAGTATTCTAATTAAAGGAGATGGCTTATTGTTTCTCTAGTTGTAGAACTAAGTTGAATAATAATTTAATGTGGCTGTTGTTTTGTTTCTTCTAAAATTAAATCTAACAGAGATACCAGTTTTTTTTCTGCTCAAAGTTAAACTTTCCGGAGCCAGGTGATGCTACCCCAACCACCTGTGTTGCAGTTTTAGAGTATTCTAATTAAAGGAGATGGCTTATTGTTTCTCTAGTTGTAGAACTAAGTTGAATAATAATTTAATGTGGCTGTTGTTTTGTTTCTTCTAAAATTAAATCTAACAGAGATACCAGTTTTTTTTTCTGCTCAAAGTTAAACTTTCCGGAGCCAGGTGATGCTACACCACACACATGGTGGCATGGTGGATGGAATAGCAACAACATCATACAGTATAATCCAATAAATGAACACACACAACGTGTCATACTGTCCTTTATGCTGCTGTATCATTTCAATAATGCTCCAGTGAAGCTTTACTGCATCTCACACTGTGTTGTGATTCCCTAGTGACCTACTCAGGGAGTGGCTTTTCACTTTTATAATATACAGATGAGGTTTTGAAGCATACCTCCAGGTTAGATATATTCTGTAGAGGGGGCACAGCGCAGCGAGAACACTCTAGAGTCACCCAAGAACATAATGCGATATGACTGTATGCATATAGGACTTGACACCATGACAATATTCTCATGCAGCCTTCTAAAAGTAAGTTCCACTAAGATTCCTTCACCAGTTTCACACGAAGCTAAACCTGTTACAGCTGACCCAAGCTGAGCAATGCTACACCACCCACACTAGAGACCGTGGCCAAAATAACAAGAAACGTTTATAGTAACGTGCGGTCAGATACACCATCACCACAGACTTTTGTCTTGCACAGTTGAACTAATACCTGTTGGGCATCGCTGCAATAAAATGTGAACTAATCCTCACAGAGTTGAAGATAATGGATTGCAGTACAACCTAGAGGTACTGCTAAAACAAATAGGAAATGGTCAAAAAGTAATTTATCAAGCAAATGTGCCAAATCTGAGGGATTGCAGTTTTTCTTCTGGCTGGTTTGTGTCATTGCAGATTAAATATTGTCGTTTTTTTTTTTTTACTGTTGCTCGGGCATAAAAAGGCATTTTAGTGGTCTCAGTTTGGGTGTTTGGAAATTGTGTTGACGTCTACTTTATCAGTATTTTCTGAAACTTTATAGACTGAAATTTGAAAAGATAATATAATCCCCTGCACACATAACAGTGGTCTAGGTTAATCAGACCACTGTTGATCCTTATTGTTGGCTGCAGGCCCGTGTTGAAGCATAGTATACATGGGATTGTGTTGGTACAACATCAGTCTTTTTATAGCAACTTCACTGATCTGTTCTCGTAAGTGACACACTTGCAGCTTGTATAGTGCTTCTCCTCTTGTGTACGTCTCCGTGAGAGGCCTGTGGTCATTTGTGAAATGAGTTAGAGCTAGTGGGTGACAGACAGGAAATGGAAGTCACTGGCGGTATGTGTGTCTCCCACACGCTGTGTCCTTTATCGCCGGCTGCCATATGGATGCCTGCGCTCACTCAATGTTTACATTGTCACTGCTTGCCAGAGGAACCACGGGAGTGAGAGAGAGTGAGCAGAGCCTGCTGCTAGAGGACGCACTAATTAATGTGTTTAATATCTGTGTGATGAGAGCCGGCTTCCTCCACTGCCACGGAGATGGGTGAGCATTGGTCACTTTGTTTGTGTACATGTCTTTATGAGTGGCTGCGTCAGTTGGCGTCTACACACACAGGTGGCTTTATGAGTGTATCAGCATCTGGACCAGGACCGTCTACCTTTTGTAATGTCTGTCTGTGTGCACATCACCCCTCCACTCTCTCAGCTGTCACTGGTGGTCCTGTGTCGTGTTGGGACTGACAGAAACTCTCCAGGCAACATTCAGTCACATCAGGCAGGGACGAGGTTATCAGCGCACAGGTCAGAGGTCACTGTCCGGCCGCGTCAAGGTGGGCAGATCTAAAGGGAGGTGAAGGCATGGGTCTATTGCTGCTGACCCCTATTTCTGCTCTTTCTCCTACTACAGCATCAAATCCTCCTTCATCCTGTCCATCTATCTGTGATCTCTCACCTCCTGGGATTTTTATCTTGTGTCTACATCTCTGCTTTTTCCGTCCACTTCCAACATCCTTTCGTTTTATTCAGCGATAAGGCTGGTTTACACATTTCCCTTCTATCTTTCCTGGCGCCTTCTCACGCACCCACGCACACACCTGGATGTCTACCCTAATAACGTGTCTTTTGACGTCTTCAGGTGAGTCAGTTTTTGTCAGTGTGACTTCGCTTCTGTGTCAGTGTCTGCTTTTGTTTCTGTCCCCCTTCAGCAGAGAAACTAACAAAACAGACATCATGCTCATGTTGATATCTCCATCTTTGTCACTTACATTTGTCTTGCAAATTGAGTCTTAAATTTGGATTTAGTGACACATACTATATAACGTCAGTATATTGTAGTTGCAATACTGGGTTAGCTTTGCAAATGGGTTGTTTGTTGTCTGTTTTGTTTTTGACCCAGTATTTTACCTCCAATCGTTTACACCTGTTTTGAAGTTATACTAAACAGTTTGCATGTGTCATTCAAACTGTGATATAAAAAATAACACTTGGCCCCCCCGATAGGCAGTGCCCCACCCGTAAGCTGTTGTATCTACAGCTCTGTACTGTACTGAGTGTGCTGTGCTGTGGAGCAGGCTAATCATAGAAAACTCCCCGGGGTGGGAGCACAACATCACTAATCATCCTCATCGGCCAATCACTGAGGGCGTGCTGCTGATATGAAACTACTTGCAGCAATGTTTGGATATAGGAGTCTGTTAAACTACATATACAGTGTTTATCTTTGTACACAGAGGTATGTGTACACAGCTTTAAAAACATCCGTTATGCTTGGCCAGAGGACCGTTTCCTCAGTAGCTCTGTTTTACCCACAAGACCACAGTACTAATCAAGCATATGTAATTCCTGGCTCTGTACGGCTCAGTCCTGTGAGGGCTCTACAGAGTGAACGGATCTTGTACAATGTGTTTTGCAGGTTGTAGTTGATCATGTCTCCCTGCACAGTAATGTCCTCTTCTCCCCAGTCAGTTTAATGTTACAGAGTGAACTTCCAGCCATCTGACAGAGATATCATCCCTGCTCCCCTGGGCAAAGAAGCAGTGGGAGGAGGAGGAGGAGGAGGGTGCAGTAGTGGTAGATTTTTACAAAAGATAGGGAAGAGATATGGGAAAGCGGAAGGCTTCTGAGGGTGAAAGATGGAGGTGAACCTCTTTTGATTCCCCTTGACTCCCCTCGGTCTTTTTGAGGGGAGCTGTGGGGATGTGAGAATCACAGTGCCTCTGCACCCCCTTGTCCTTTCCTTACGCTGCCCTTGTTTCCTCCACCTCCCTGCACTCACTGATTGTTTTAGCAGCTGGTCTATTGTGCAAATACATGGCCCCTTTCCAATGGTGTTAAAAGTACAAGGAGCTCACTTAAGTAAAAGTACCAATGCAACAATGAAAAAACACTCCATTATGAGTAAAAGGCCCTCATTCAGACTCCTACTTAATTAAATGTACATTAGTATTAAGAGCAAGAAGGTAGAGACTTAGGCCCATTCAGGATTGTCTCATCTGCTGCGTGGGAGACAGTGCTGAAAGGTCTCATATAAGCCCTCTGAAGTGGCTGTGCACTGCTCTTTAACCAAGGTGGGGCTGATAACTTGATGCAATTTTGCCAAATAAACCTGGTGTTCTTCACCACCGAAGCATTTGTGTTGGCAAATATAAATATACTGTTGCCAGAAGGTGGAAAATGGAACTTAATTGTTAGCAAAGTACAAGTGTAGGATTTGAGTAAATGTACTTAACTTTCGTTGGAAAGTTACTGCCCCTCTGTCCATGCTGTATCACCATCCTCCTCCTCTTTTTGTCATTCTCTCTTTTTCATTTATTCCCCCACACCCTTACTTTTCTTGTTTTTGCTTTGTACCCCAGTGTGCTTTAGTCTCAGAGGACAGTAGCACTGTCCACTTCCTCCAGTGTCTCTGTTGATTCAGTGTGTGCATGTGTGTGTTGGGGGGGGTCGGGGGTCAGTATCCTTGAAACAGGCACATCCTCATCTTTGCGGAAGGGCACGAGTTTGAGAATTGCACTTTGCTGTGTGTTGTTGTTTTTCTGCTGAATGAGTGGAAAGTTGGCCCAGTGCAGGTTTTTAAATAGCTGAATGGGTATTGACTTTCTTGCAGCAGCAGCACACCCACACACACACACACACACACACCCACACACACAATCAGCATAATGATCACAACAACAGCTGGTGATTAGCAGTTCAACTTACAAATCTTTTGTGGCTTGAAGTAATGAATGGTTGGATGTTTGGATGAATGAAGTGATGGCTTTGTTAATGAAAGTGGAAAGAGATTTTACCTTTAGATCCATGCATTTATCAATGGAGTATGTAACCCATTATTAAGGGTTCACCAGATGTAACTAACAACTTAATGGTTTTTAAAACCTTTTCCAACCAGAGTAAGAAGAGAGAGCTAGTGTTTTCCCCCTTTGGTTTTGGTAATAAAACAGTTATAAATGTAGATAATCAATTTATGAATGTACTTTTTCATAAAGGACAAAGTTTGTGGTTATAAAAGTTAATAAAGCCAGATTTATGCTTCTGCATGGAACCTACATAGAGCCTACACTGTAGGCTATGCAAGTGGCCTACGCCATTGGGAGCATTTATACCTGTGTGCTGGTGTGTCTGTGTGGCCCTGCATCACCACTGTCAAAACAATAGTTGGAGGTGGTGTGTCTACGCCACTGTGTTGCATTTCTTCACCACGTAGAGACAGTGGTGACTGAAGCTGACCAGGCCATGTTGGAAATAAAACTAATAGATGCTGAACAACAGTTACTTTTGCTGAAATTACTGCAACACAAATAAGGGAGACAGTCGGAGGAGATGGTGTATACGACTGTTGGACCAAATGGGGCAGAATGAGAGGGATTTCCTATGCTTGTCCAGCCTCTGAGAGACACGAATGAGGAAATTCGATGCAACCAATCACAGTTGTTATTGTCGGCATCACCATGATGTGTAGTTACATTTCTGGAGAGGTGCATGTCAGGCTGCGGCGTAGGGTAAGAGGCTACTCATTACCTATGTCATGACTACAGCATAGATTCAAGGCAGAACCACAAATCAAGCTTTAGCCATTAGTGTATTTGCTTTCATAGTAATCATACTGTCTAACCAATCAAAGGGATTTTTTCACAGACTGGCAACATAAGAGTCGTTATTAATGGATTATAACTGAACCTTTTTATATTTATTTATTATCTGTTATTAAAGACATTAGTTACACTTTCTGAAGACCGGCTTACTCTTGATTTGAACAATCACCTTCTCCGTGGGAGAAAAGAACAACAGCACAGTGCTCCTCATTCACATTCCTCCAGTATTTGGCCAACCCAAGTGCCGAGAGAATCTCAGAAATGTTTTGCGTCCAATCAAAACAGCTTAGAAACCCCCGGCCACCCACTTCTGCACTCCATATAAATTAAAGAAGTAATGTTAAGCTGAATGGACACAGTATTCCTTTTTGTTTGCTTTGCATTGTCTCTAGGCATCAGTGAAATTCTGACATCTGGTCTCAGCATCCATGAGTTTCTATCCCTGCATGATGAGCTGAAAGAAGGTCCCCCAAAGGGCTAGCACTCCTATGTATTTCCCTTTTTCATAGCCATGTCTGATCTGGCATATTGATCTGTGGGAGAGTGAAAGAAGATGGAGTCGGCAAGAGATTGGCTTGTAGTTGAATGTGTGTCAGACTTAATTCCAGCGGAGAGTTTTTTGCGGTAATCCTTTTGAAAAGACAGCTCACACTGATGTTTTTGAAAATGACAATGAAGCTGTTTGCAGGAGAAATTCCGGGAAATTCTGCAGTAGAAATGTATGCGTGATTTGGTTTAAGGATGCAATTTCAGAAGGCAAACATCTGAACGCATATTGTGAGTGAACTGCCCAGAGAAGCTCAGCATCTCTGAGAATAAGCTTTCACAGCTTGGGGCGTGTTGGCGATCCCTCTGCGTATGTCGCCCAGCCTGCCCACTCAGAAGATTTCCTTTAATCTGCATGATTTACAGACAGCAATAATGAAACCAACATGTGTTTGATTGTTTGGCACGATTCACTGATGCTTGTTAGTCACTGATG